GATATCCGAGCGTAGCCAGTGCACGATGCAGATAACGGACAGAGAACCAGTTTATTGTTGCTTGATCTTTGTCCCGGGTAGAAGTTTACATAATTTGCTCCTCCACTGATTGATCGTTGGAAAGTTTCGTCAGCGAGTTTCGCTCGTCCCGCTTCCGGTTCGTGAATAAATATCATACCGTTCGCTTCTATTTCTCGATCTAACGTCGGCAAAGGGATTAAAGTGGATAAATAGGCGAACTTCGAAGGTTTCCATGTACGCCGGATCAACATGGGCGAGAAGTTTACTCGCCCAGCCACACCAATATTAAACCATCTATTAAGTTTCTTATTCCTCCTCGGTATTAATATCGCGGATATTGATATTGATTGAACGTATCAAACTCTTGTTTTTTTGATATCGAATGGTTCTTCAAACTAATTTCTACGTTCCTACGGATGTTTTCCCGTCCTTTTGAAAACTATTGCATCTTTCGCGTGGAAAGTTTCGTATCAAAATTCGTACTAATATACAGGAGTTTTTATTACGCTCTTCCCTCGTTTCGAAAAAAGCTACAGTCTACAGATTGACGATATGCTCGGGACCTCTTTGAATTATTCCGACAAGGGAAGAATACACGGAACGTCCATTGAAGTAACACGTTGTATACTCTATCGTGTCTGGCTTAGATTTCAATGACTGCAGCAGTCTATACATGTGTGTGTGTGTGTGTGTGTGTGTGTGTGTGTGTGTGTGTGTGTGTGTGTATGCACCCACGTACATACGTATTTCTGGGGACATTTCCTGTATACGTACAGGACAGACATATGTAGGGAACTGGCATGCACAGTTGGGGACATCGACGTCGAAACTCCCTTAACAGTATTAACATTTCAGGGAGCTGCTCGAACCGGATTCTGAGGACGCCAGAAACCGATCTCCAACAGATTATATCAGCCACAGGCAATCCTGTCAAGATGATACGACGAATTCTTGCTATTATCTTCCCGTTGATACGTAACAATTATTCATTTTACAGTTATTATTAACTGCGAGCAACAGATAGTATATTGAATTGGGTAGTAAATAATTTTCTTTTCGGTAAAACAAACGACAATCCATGATATATATTCGACATTATTTGCCATTCACCAGTTCACTAGCTTGTTGATTAGCTTTAGCGTAGAATTCAGCTGATTTTGGTGTAAAAAAGTTTTTACACAACTCTCGAATTTGGTCGTCGTTGGAGAATTTTTTTCCGCGTCGAAACATTTTGCAGGGATGGGAAAAAGTAGTAAATAGATGGCGCAAAGCCAGATGTAGGATAGAGCTCTAAAATTTTCAAATATGCACTTTCGACCCATCCATTTCAAAGCTGAGAAATTTATTATTTAATATTTCATGAATCATTAGCCTCTTCACGCCCTTGGCCACATATGTGGGCAGTTAATTTACGTGCTATAAAAAAGTCACGTCCATTCGCGGAACCATTATCAAAATGAATGTGCAATCTTTGCTAAATTTGCTAACCAGAAAACAAATCTCAATTGTCATGACGCAGGTAAAAAATAAAAAATGAAATGAAATGAAATGAAATTTCTGTGTTACAACTGAGAAATTCGTCCCTGAAGAGGTTAGGATGACAAATGCATCGTTACAATTTGTTACCAAAAACGGGAACTATTTCTGACTCAAAGATAGATCGCATAGTTTTGTTCATTTATTTCCAATTAAAAGTCTAAACGGATTATTCGAGACAATTGTAACAAAGTTAACGTGAAGATGAAAACGTCAAGGATAAACGTCTTAGTAGTATATCGTAACATCGATTATCTAGGCATCCATATACAGATTACGATCGATTCTCTGATTATTCGATTATGCAAAGTGAAATGTCAAACGACGTGAAGGCAGACGTTATTCAGTTACTTACGTTAACGAGTGAACGTGTTTGGGAATAGGGCCATAAAAGTATGAGCCGTTCTCTCATCCTGATTTAACTTGCATTGAAATTAAACCCTTTGTTCGACGCACGATCGGTAAAATCGTACTTTGTGTTTGACAGATTAATTACTCGGCTTGCGTTATTCAATTAACCAATGTCCCATTGCATTCGCGTTACCATTCGCGTTACCATTCGCGTTCCATAACAAGTCACAAATAGACAGGAATAAATTGTTCCTCGGAACATCGGTGTCTCACTAATATCTGCTTTAATTTAACAAATCGCGAACATTATGATATATTACTAATTGCTCGGATTACTATACTATCGGAAAGTACAACATTCGGTGCCACGTTAGTTCCTGAATTAATTAAAATCATTAAAAATATATTAAAATGAATTAGATATTAAATCACAACGAATCACAAATCATAGCGAATGTAATAAAATGTCAAATCCTTGAAAACACTAATACAGAATTAATTGAAATCATTCAAATATATTTAAATTTCAAAAATTCTTAAGGTTTCACGAGTATTGTTACTTTACCGGTTTATGAATTACATATTAAATCACAAAGTAATAATAAATGTAAAATGTTCAATCGTCGAAAATACTAATACAAAATTAATTGAAATCATTAAAATATATTAAAATTCCAAAAATTTTAAGGTTTTACAAGTATTGTTACTTTACCGGTTTATGAAGTAGATATTAAATCACAACGTAATAACGAATATAATAAAATGTAAAATCCTTGAAAACATAATGACGAATGTAAAATGTTCAATCATCGAAAACACTAATACAAAATTAACTGAAATCATTAAAATATACTAAAATTCCAAAAATTTTAAGGTTTCACAAGTATTGTTACTTTACCGGTTTATGAATTAGATATTAAATCACAACGTAACAACGAATGTAAAATGTCAGATTGTCGAAAACGCTACATACAAAATTAATTGAAATCATTAAAATACATTAAAATTCCAAGATTCTTAATGTTTCACAAGTATTTTTACTTTACAATTACAACGTGAAACGTGAAATTGTCGGAAATACCAGAGAGCGAGTTGTGAAATTTACGCCGATGAAGCAACAAATTGCAAAGTTCGTGGCTGTTCGACGACGTTTTCCCTCCGCGACGTTAAACGCGAACACGCGATCAAAGGAGGCGAGGTACGATGGAACAGGGCTCTTGTAACTCGTCGCGCGCGTACACAGTTTTTAAATTTCTATTTACTTTTACACCGAAAGTTCCTCGCCACGAGATGCGAGCAGCTCGCGCAAGTTTAACAACCCCCTCCCCCCTCCCCCCCCTCGGTCGGTGGAAAGAGTAAATGGCTTTTTCTCTCCGCTTGACACGACCGCCCGAGCCGACTGCTATTACTTACGAAACTTTCTTATCTTTATGTCTGTAACTCGTCGGACCCTGATGGCTTCCTTAACGAGACGGTGTACAACAGTGAGAGAAGATCCCGTAATGCCGCCGCGTTTTTCATTCGGCAGGGTTTTCGACACGTGATGCATCGACGTTGCGAAGAAAAGAGGGGGCGGACTCGCCCCCCGTTTCTTGCGCGCCCGACTCGAAACGACGAAACGATATTTCTTGCATCCTGTGCTACCGACACAGGATTGTTTCGCCTGCGCCGATTGACGGCCAACTTTTGTTTTTGCAACATACTTGCACACATATTTCACACACCTTTGAATGTGCTTGGAAACTTGGAAAACCGCGATGCCATCGTCACGGTTATATGGGTCAAATTTGAATCTAATCTGACACTAAATATTGAAACAGTTAAACTTCAAGGCTCTGCTAACAAACTGCGTCGTTCATTTTGGTCTAGGACATTCTTGCACTTCTGTAGCAAAATCTAGATGACAAAATGAAGACACTTTTCTTTTCAAAAATCCTAGAAATTGTAGCACTATGTAAAAACATAGAAAAAAATTTTTTCTCACCACTTAACCCGGGATTACCCACCTGGTGGTCTAGCGGATCCCGGCGTGGATAATCCCAGGTTAATCTATAATTGATTGGAAGACTGAAGCCTCCAGTTTGCAACGATCCTTCAAAAATTACTATACGACTCTTTTCTTGCCAATTTGTCGAACTTTGAGTATAAGATCAACACGAGAATAAAGATAGAAAAAGTAGCGAAAAAAAGTCATACGTTAATTTTTGGAGATATACTATATAATGTGAAAACATCTTAGAATAAAACAAACGACACGCTTTGACAGTAGAAAGACACTCAAGCTTTCAAATGAGTTCGAGTTCATTGCCGTATGATATTTCAATATTCAGTGTTTGAATATTAACGGGCGTGTATATAAAAGCTCCGCGATATTCGTTGCAAGAATCGATCGATTTTCAAACTCGATCAATTCACAGCTCTTTGCAATGGACTGGGGGTAAGAGTCGCATCGATTTCCCTGCAGCAGGTGACGTCACGATTTCACGAGTTACATTTCTCTCCGGAAACGATCGGACGAAGAAGGCTGGTAACTGGAAACCTGTGTTCGAATCGAGCCAGGAATGCGAGCAACGTCGACAGGCTTGATAAATTCACGTGGCTTTGCAGTACGAGTGAAAAAAAAATTGCGTTCTGCGCGCTCGTTCTCTCCCTCGAAAATTTTCCACGTAATGGATTTCAATCTTTTTTTTTTCCCCGTCGTTCGTGAGCGTTCGGGGCTTTGAACTCCTTTTTTTGTTTTTTTTTCCTCACCGCGAGTTCGAGACACAGCACGGAGTTTATCAATTTTTCTAGATATTCTCTATGTAAATTTTCGTTTCTTTTCTTTTTTTTTTTCTGGATAGATTTGATAGGATTGAGTAGAGGGATTTTACCATGTTCAAACCACGATAAAGTGAGGAAGAAAGGACCGGCACATTAGCGCGCGAGTAAGAAATTAATTGCGACCACATTTGACGTATTGATCGCAGCGATCAATGTTTCCCTTCGTGAAATCAAATTTGCGGCGGGATGTAACACCCCTCCCTCTCCCCCTCCTCCCGACCCTTCGGATAATTAGTTTGATCGAGGCGAACGTTACGCCCATTGCTTACCTGGAGATTGGGCGGGCAATGATCGAGCAGTTCCAACATGTGCCTGATATTCTGCGCGTCTTGAATCACGAAGTTCAGCTCCATGTCGAATTCGCCGCCCACCAGCTGCGAACAAAACAAACAAATCGTCAATCGACGCGTTGTCATTTATTGGAAAGGCTTGGACGAGTTTTCTTCGAATTGTAAAGAAAGAATTGGAAGAATCTGGATATTTTAAGATTCGAGGATTCGAGTTTCCAGATCGAAACAATTCGTCCAATTCTCGACTCGAATATGCATTTGTCGATCGATGTTCGAATTGAAGCTAATTCGCCGTCAGAATCAATCAAAATAGATTCGACGATCCCATTACCCGCGACATCTATTTTCAGTATCCATCCATAATTTCAAGGAATGTTTCCGCTTAAATTCCGCCGATTCCGTTCCTCTCGTCCGTTTAAACTCGCAGCTGATCGAATCGAACTCCGTTCGATCATATAACATTCATACACGCATTTTCCGCGAGTGGTCCCGACACATTCAGCAGACGAACGGTGCACAGGCAATGAATTTCCGGTTCGTGCTGCTCGTGTGCAAAAAATTTATGAGTTCTCTCGCTGGCCAGAAGGATTTACCGATACTGAAAGATGTAAAGTACGGTGATACAAACGATGGGATGGGTGTAAATATAGATATTTGTATGTGTATACTCATTTCTTGCTTCCAATGTTGTGGGAAAAATTTAAACAACGTTTAAACCCACTGTGGTTTGTAATAAATAGTTTATTAATTTGGGAATTAAGAGAAACTGCGTTAGTTCGAATACGGCGATATTAAGTTTTCTTAAACGACTTTCTATTTAAAGCCTTACCCTTAAGACCTCTGTCTTTGTACACATTTCAAACATTCACACAACTGTACGCTCGTATTTTATGTCTTAGGTGGCTAACTGGCGGCCCGCGAGCGAACCCCTACTTTTCTACTTCGCTAGCACCACCCCCTCCACTACTCGATCTCTCTACTACGTTTAAAAGTTCTTCCTTCATTTGCCAACAAGCTATTGTGTTCATAATCAATCGTTTCGAAAATATTTCACCTTTTAATCTTAGATGACTCATCCTTGTGTATGAAATAACACATTTTTATCGATATAAAACTTTTCAAACATTAATGGACGTAGGATGAATATGAAAGATCATTACAGTGCGCCTTTTCAACGAAACAAGACTTGTTTCATTATTCATATCTTTGTTTTCGTTATCTATCACTTTTGCGCACGATTTCACAGTAGATTTTACACGAAATTGAAAATTTTTGAAACATTATACATATTTGGAATCGAATTGAACTTGCAAAATTTTATTTGAGCTTTTGAGTGAAATGTTATTTCACGTTAAATCATAGCTCAAGATGCATTCGATTCGACGCTTTCCTAATATCTTGCGTGCGCGTATAGTAGCGATAATAAATAGTTGGAAATGCGAGGCTAGTTTGCGAGGTTACATATGTACGTGCTCTCGGTGTCTTCTTACAGACAGATGGCTTACGTACAGCTGAACCGGATGCGCCGTCTCCACGGGGAGATCGTAATTTCCGGCGAAGTATCTCTTCCTTCGCTACTCCCTGTCGCGTCTTCTCCCAAAATACTAGCCCCGATATCGATCATGAATTGCTCACGCTCTCCCTACGTGGCCGAGACGCGTTCACGAGCACTTTTTACGACGCAAATACAGTCGTTCGTAATAAAATCGACTGACACGATTCGACAACTTTAAGAGAGTTGAAACTTGAGTTAAAAAGATTGACTAGTTATATCGTGTTGAAACAATACTTATATGCGTATTTTTATATGAATACTGAAGAATATTAAAGAAGAATGAAAGCTAGAGTTCGTAGTACATTAGCGTCCACTTAAGCGTCCGCTATCCCCCACGAATTATTAAAATTGGGATTATCCCCACTCTACTCTGGCAGTGTGAAACATGAAACAAAACAAGCGATGTATGACACCGATACTTCGGCATCATTTTAATTGTTTCGGGCACATATTGATCAAACTGAGGAAAATTTTGTATTGAATAACAAATACATATCCAATTTATATGTATTAATACGAGCATAGAATCGTACCATGTGTATCGTTAATTTAATATTGATGAAAATGTAACAAGACCTTTCTATCAAGGCTTCTATTTAGTTATTGATAATTATTGATTAACAACAACTTTTATAGAAATTTCAATAAATTTAGATTAATTACAATCATTTCATAATTATTGCTTTAAATGTACGTATGTATTAAATTTAAAATAAGTTCAAATGCATTCAGTTAAAGTGTTAAATTTCTTTATAATCGAATAATGTAGCAAACAACACTGAAATTTGCCGTGTCAATTCGCCACCCTTCTTAGGCGTCCGTTTTTGGACGCTTAAGAGGACACTACTATATATACAGGCGACACATGTGCGCCATCGTAAATTCCGTCTGTATTCCGTTTCACCCGCTGTTTTCGACCTGCTGTTGAGAAACCGAATATCCATTTGTCAACCCGCCTTTTTATTACCACGTTTAATCCACAGTTCTGGAGGGGCAGCTCCGCCAGCCGCATAAACATTCCGACAAAAGAAAAATATTTCTTTCTATGAAATTCTTGCGAAATCGTTCGCGAGGGACCAGCGCAATAAGGGCTGCTCGACATTGACCCTCGTTCCGCGGATGATTCGCTCGAGACGTGGTGAAAAGGTTATTGCCACTGCTGTTTTCCTTCCATTGTCTCGGTTGAGTCGTCGTTCGCGAGCCGTCACCTCTCCTCATCCGCGAGAAATATAAATTTTGAGGCAAGAAGCCAAGGGTTATTGTCGCAAGAGCGATGACACCGACGATTTCACACCCACGATTTCGACACCGTAGCTATCTTTCCGGGCTGTCGGCGTCGTTCGTCGAAATTCCGAGTGCCTCGTATCAGACGAGGAAAGGGGCGAGCCGAAAAATAGAACGCTTGCCAGAAATATCGATCTCCGCTGTTTGCCAAAATGCTGGTAATACGTGCGAGGCGGAACGCGAGAGGTTTTGCCAAGTATTTGACAGGGTGGAAAGCACGACTCATGGGTACTGTTCGAACCCTCTTTAGGGTAGATATACGAAAGTATAGATGGTGTTTTGACATCAAGATATTTTTATGTAATAGTAACAAATTTGTCTCGATTTCAAATTGATTACTTTTGAAATGTTGTAACTGTTAATGCTAGAACAACCGACTAAAGCACAGAATTTCTACTGGAGAAAATCAGTTAAAATCAAAATAGGTAGAAAAAGATTATAATAGAAGAAAATACACGAGCTTTGTACCAGTGTTTCCTAACCTTTTTCTGGCCACTTCATCTAAGCATCTTTAAAATCCTGATAGCCCACCTCTGTGACACGTAATTCTTATTATTCAAAGCATGAATTTTTGACGTGGGGGAAGCCTAAAGCGAACCTTCCAAAGAACGTGACATCCACGAAAGAAAAAAATAAGAAATACAAAGGATCTCTCTAAAAAAATCAAATTGCCCTTCTGTGGGCCCTACGTTTTCATACATTTCGCGAAAAGTCACTTAAATTTCTAAAAGTACACTGCTTTACATTAACGTAAAATTTCTAACAAAAAAATTATAAATCGGTCATTTTGACCACTGTAGTTCCAGTGTTCAAGCTAACGTCTGAAAGAGATGGATAACAGTTTCAAGGCAATAAACTCGACAACGGAGGAAAACACTCTCGTCGGTTTCTCTGAAAGATAAACTCGCAATAAATTACCTTCAACCTTTCTGAGGCTCGATAACAATTTCAAGCAAAGAAAAAAAAAACAAAAGAAAAATATTGCCTGCCTGCTTTAACTGCCGTCTGTCTCTCTTCAGCAGGAAGTTCCAACTGCCGCCAGTATTAAGTCCGACACACTCGACGGTGTAACACGTCTCCATCAAATTCATTGCGCCGAGGGGGCAAATGAAACAGAGTTTCGATCGATCGAATTGTTTTTCTACGCTCGCGCCAGCGAAATTTCCATAAACAACACATCTACGCGCCGCGCCATACGAAGGATCGTTCGCTCGAATAACTTTCCCCGGGGAGGGTGGAACGTGCAACGGAATCGAGGGAAAGGGGGAAGAAATAAACATACGCGGACTCGTGTGACTTACGATTTTCGGCGAATCACCGGGGGGTGGGACACGAGCGTAAGCTCGTTGGAATTGGGGAAAATGGCCAGCATGGGGGATGGTAAAATGGGATTCGGTGAATTAGGGTTGGCCGGCACTGCCGACCGCTAATTGGACATCACTGGCTTTTACACCTTCTATGTTTCTGTCAGTCGGAAGCGGCCGGCGAGCTTCCGGGTACGTGCCAAATTCGCTTATTCGGCAACGAAAACAGTCGCCGTGAGCCCACCTCAGCATCGCGAGGTATAATTCCATTAAGAACAACGGTGTATGACTTTGACGGGCGTGTTTCACCCGACGAGTTTGCGTTCCCGTCGGGTTTCGAAACTTCCGAGGTGGAAGAACAGTAATTGGATTCTGATCGAAACCGAGTTCGAATCTCAATATTTTTTTTTTTTTTTTATCGCAAGGTAATTGTTCACGCGAACTTTTTCATCTACCCGGGGAGCTGAGAAAGACAGCGCGTTCTGAAAACTGTTGAATTTATTCGACAAATTGAAATCTTCTTTACGTGAGAGACATAAGATACAAGAAAATATAAAATGTGTTGTCCTTTTGTACATATCTAAAATGGCAAATGTTCACCATAGTGTCATCTACCCGTCTTTAATCTTTTGCGCTGGAATGACGTTGAGAATTTCCTGTCCCAAAATTGCAATATTTTCTCAGTCTTCGTCAAGTATATTTAAGTATAACCCAGCCAAAACGAATAATAAATTTATTACTTCTCAATAGTTTCTATCCAATGATGTACCGATGAGTTCAAAAAGAAAGCGACGGATTATTCTATACGGTTAGTACATGGTTGTAATATTGGTCACTCGTTATGGTCCGCAATCAGTTGCCAGCGCAAGTGGTTAACCCAGTATACGACAATTCGTTGCTCTCTTCTTCGTTTGAACTCGTCGGTGTGACATCACTGGATAGC